AGTGTAGTGTAGTGTAGTGTAGTGTAGTGTAGTGTAGTGTAGTGTAGTGTAGTGTAGTGTAGTGTAGTGTAGTGTAGTGTAGTGTAGTGTAGTGAAAATATAATACCCTAGATATAACATAAACAGCGCTTATACGTAAAGTCATTGCATTATAAGCATATTATATTTGAGTGTATGCATGAATGTATTGCATAATTTGTATTCTTTCTTGCATGTTATCTTCAATGTAGAAGTAGCGTGTGCATCATAATGATTTACTGTTGCTATGGAAACAGGGACAAATTTCAGGTTCAGAGGCGGCGGAGGCGGCGGCACGAAATTTTGCATGAGGACCAAGATCTGCTCACCATTCCTCGTGCCAAAGGCGCGACCTCACAAGGGGATCCGAGGGCATGCTCGCCCTTAAAACTTTGAAATCTAGACCCTCTTTGAAACGCCATTTATTTCGTTTTGAGCGACAAATTTTGCTGAGACAAGGGGTTCAGCTTGATTTTCTCTAGGGGGCCACCCCTCTGCCCACGGTGCCGCCGCCACTGCAGAACAGAAATGTTCAAAGTTTGTCGCACTACATGATAAGTTTTTTTTTACAATTAAACACAATCTTCTTACAAACTCAAACAAGTCTATGGTTTTTTAATTGATAATTTATTATTTATTGAATTCTGTGTTAGTTTTCCATTTGATAAATCCGATTAATCAAGACGCCACTTTAGTGCAGCAGCCATGCCTCCATTCCTGAAAATAAACAGTAGGCATGAAGTAGAATCATTCAATACCTGAAAAACAAACAATAGCCATGCAATTCATATCATCACATAACGAAACAGAAATAAAATAATACCCATAATCCATATCGGAGTAACAAAACATAATCATGGCATTGAAATGTATTCATACTTCGTAAACACAAATGCCATGGAAACGGCATCAAAAAAGAAGACAGCTTTACTCTGTACTAAAAATCAACAATCATATATTAATACATAAATAACAGCTGGATATCCATTCTTCTACACTTAACATACATTCGAATCTACCTTACTACATGGTCCGCTGACGTTGCATTTTGTGTATTGCAAGGCACGATACGAGAACAGCACTGGCTACCAATAACACATCAAAGATAATAAGAAGAGTTAAAACTGTCCCGGACTGTACACCTGTATATTAAGAAATGTTAATGTCCTTCAAAGTGAAATAGACGTGTGTATTTTGAAACTCTATGTTCATAACATAGATGCTATGGGGAATGCATATTGACGAGATCTTACCTTTTTGATGTACAGCATTACACAATGTTTTGGTTGCACTGGCCTCATATACTCCAGTTGTATATGATACACGTGTATCAGTCGTTATAAATGATGCTGTATTGGCACCTCCCTTGACGTCAGTTGTTGTGGTTTTCTCAGGAATTAAATTGTTAGTTTGACTTATTGTACTATGTGTGAATGTTGATTGTATATTCTTTGGTGTTCGTGCTAGAACATTTGAAACTGATCTTGAGCTGACCAACAAGCTGTGTATTGTATTTCCATCAGTGGATATGGAATGGGTATCTTCTCCACGAATCAACGTTGTGGCGTCTTTATTATATCCAGTTATATCTAGTTTGTTTGAACCCGTCAGTACAAGTGTTTGGCTATGTTTTCTCGATGCTGACGTTGTATTCACTGTTGAGGTAGATTTGTCAAAGGGATGGCCATTAACTGTGTGGTTCTGGACATATTTGTTAATTTATCTACTATGTAGTTTTCAGTGGTTACTTGTGTAGGTGTAACAAGTCTAGATGCATCAATACTATTCACTGTTGGTAAATTTTTTGAAGATTTTGACATTGGCCCATTTTCTATATCAGTGAAAGGTTTTGATATATGTGTGTATGCACTGGTGAAGTTCGATACCAATGACATTACTGATGTTGCTGTCATATTCTTTACACTGTGTGTCGTAGTTATTTGAGTAGGTGTCTGTACATTTATATATGAACTTGACTGCTTAAATACTACTGAGTTCATTACAGGTACTGCTGTAACATCTTCTGCAATATGCGTTTCAGTCGTTACTGCTGAAGTTAACAACATTCTTGGTACTGCTGATTTAATTTCATTGACTGTGGTGGAATCGTTGGTTTTCACTGGGTTGATCGTGTTTATTGGTGTAGTCGTGGGCACGGATATGTCATCAGCAGTATGTGTTATTAGTGAGATCGTAGATCCCTTAGTAAAGGATTTCTTTGTTAATTTCCATGGTATGTGATGTTTTGCAAGAGAAGTGGATGTTTCTGCCATCATAGATGATGTCATTTCAATTAATTGTGATAGTGTCGATACACTTGTTGAAGTTCTATCTGATATTTTCATGGAAACTCCAATTGATGACTCCATGAGAGATGACGATTTTGTAGAAGTTCTGGGGGGTGTTTTTGTAGGGATTCTGTGTGATGTTTTCGTAAGGGTTCTAATTAATAAGTTTGACGGCACTCTAGATGATGCTTCTTCGATCGAAACTCTAGGTGGTGATTTTGTAGCTGTTGTAGGTGATGATTCTATAACAGTTGCAATTGAATCTTTCATCGAAGCTCTAGATGGTGATTTTGTAGGTGTTGTAGGAGATGATTCTATAACAGTTCCAATTGATGCTTCCATCAAAACTCTAGGTGGTGATTTTGTAGGTGTTGTAGGTGATGATTCTATAACAGTTCCAATTGATTCTTTCATCGAAGCTCTAGATGGTGATTTTGTAGGTGTTGTAAGTGATGATTCTATAACAGTTCCAATTGATTCTTTCATCGAAAGCTCTAGATGGTGATTTTGTAGGTGTTGCAGGTGATGATTCTATAACAGTTCCAATTGATTCTTTCATCAAAGCTCTAGATGGTGATTTTGTAGGTGTTGTAGGTGATGATTCTATAACAGTTCCAATTGATTCTTTCATCAAAACTTTAGGTGGTGATTTTGTAGGTGTTGTAGGTGATGATTCTATAACAGTTCCAATTGATTCTTTCATCGAAGCTCTAGATGGTGATTTTGTAGGTGTTGTAGGTGATGATTCTATAATAGTTCCAATTGATTCTTCCATCGAAACTCTAGATGGTGATTTTGTAGGTGTTGTAGGTGATGATTCTATAACAGTTCCAATTGATTCTTTCATCGAAAGCTCTAGTGGTGATTTTGTAGGTGTTTTAGGAGTTGTAGTAATTGAATCTATAACAGTTCTAATTGATGCTTCCATCGAAGCTCTATATGTTTCTGTGGGTGTTCTGGGTGATGATCGTTTGAGAGTTCTAATTGGTGCATCGGTGTGAGTTCCAGGTGATGCTTCTGTATGCGTATGAGGTGATGTTTTCATTGGCGTTCTGACTAATGCGTTTGTTGGAGATGTGGGTGTTTTAAGAGGCGATTTCATAAGATTTCCCATTGATGCATTCACTGACGCACCAGTGGACGCTTTCATCCAATATCCACTCAATGCTTGTGTAAGCTTTCCATTCGATGCCTGTTTATCGGCTCCAATTAATGCTTTTGTAGGTGGCCCAGTTGTTTGTGGTGTCCTTTTTGGCATTTCCGCATCACTTTTCGATGAAACATCCTCTATTGTTGTGTTTACTGATGAATCTTTAGTAGTCTCATATGAAGTAGGTGTGGGGTGATTAGTTGTTCTAATTGCTGTTGATGGAATTCAGCAAATATTGTTGTTGCTTGAGTTACTATAATAAACAAATA